GTGTAGGCTGTTAGTTAGTTTTCCTATTGCTAATAATAGTAAGGCTGTGCTAAGGTACTGAAAAGATCATCGCTTTGGAATTAGAATTCAGTTGTTCAATTTCCCAGCTCTCTAAAGCACACTGAACCTCATTTACACAGCAAGAACCTATTTTCTTTCCTTTCCATCCCTCCCCAATGGTTATTTGTTCTGGAAATCTTCCAATCTTTTTGGTTTTCTGTATCAGAAAGCCTCTCTGTTATTATTATATTTTTGGATTTTTAGATTTATCAGCCTCTATGAATAAAGTATGAGATATATTTGAAATTAGTCAAATTCAATTAGTTGATTAGTTTTTTTTTCATAAATAAAGGCTTCCTTCAAAATTTGTCCACACTTTACTTGTGGTCAAATGGTGAGTGGTTTATTAGACGAAATTTGAAAGCAAAAAGTCTTGTTAAAAGAACCCCAACGACATATAATGGCTCACTAGAGTTCCCGAAAAACACTGTACTGAATTAGAGAAAGCAAGTCAGGACTTACGCACTTTCAGTTTCCTCTTGCGGAAGAAAATAGCAACCTCCACTTTCACTGTTACGAATTAATTTTTCCAAACCTCGCTATAGCATTTGCCTGTCCCTTATCTAGATCGTAAACGAATGTTGGATGCAATTCAGTTGGTCTGGATGCAAAATAAACACTTAGTAATGAATTAAATTCCAGTAAATTGACTATTGTTGCGTATAAATTTATACGTCATTCATCGACTTACACTTCACATGATCTTTTCGAGAACTTTCCTTCAAACGAAATAATTACACTCATAATAATTAATAATAATAATTACAAAAGCTCAGCAATAGTCTTGAAAAGAAAAATATGTAGCTGGTGTATTAAATATACGTTAAACATACGTTTATCTCAAGAGCCGAGTTATAATTTACACGAGAGAAATAAATCAACAACGGATTTTGGAAGTTCAAGTTAAGAATCACTTTACTTGTGGTTAAATGTTAAGTGTATGTGGTTTATCAGATTGAATTTGAAGGCACGGTAATCTTGTTAAAAATAAAACACATTGACAAATTATACCTAACGCAAGCTCTCGGATAATATTTCATCGAATTAGAAAAAGCAAGTCTTTCTCTGGCACCGGAAGATGAACTACAGGGGGTAGTTTCACTTTCTGTTTCCTCGCGTACGTTAAAATAGCAGCTTCCGCCTTCATTGAGACGCATTACGTTTCCGCTCTTCACCAAAGCATTTCTCTGTCCTTTGTCTAGATCAGAAACGACTGACGGAGGTAATGCAGTTGGTCCGAATGCAAAACAGACGCTCAGCGTTAAAATGAATTCATAATAAGATGACTTTTCAGTGCGCACAATTATTACATCATTGATCGACTTACCCTTCACATGATGTTCTCGAGAACGTTCCTTCAAGCGAAATAAATACACCCAGGACACCTAATAAAGCTCATCGATCGGGCTGAGAAGGGAAGTCTGTGGATAATGTATAAAATATATGTTCAACAGACGTTACTCTCCAAAAGCTCATGTTAAATTGACATAATCATACATGTTCATGCGAGTGATGTAAATCAACAACGGATTATTAAAGTTCAAGCAATCACTTCAGAGTGAATAACTCGACTATTCTATCTGTACCTGTGATTTCTAAGGGTCAACTCTTCGCCTAGACAGTGATGTGGGTTTAAACCAATTCGTTTCCCTTTTTACTGATCTTCGGACGAACGAATGGAGACCTAAACGGGACAGATTCACGCGCACTCAAACATACTTCAAACAAGGGAGTCGTCTTTGCACAGTTGGTATTACGCACATAAATACTCAGGCTCAATGTGCTCAGGCAGAATTAAACTATCTGTATCAAAGTCTAGTTATCTCTGATTTGACCTATGGTCTATTGGTGTGCGGTGCTGTTAATGCAGAGCTTACGATTGTACATTGTTCCTGATAGGTGTTACGAGAGGGGTACATATCTACGTCGGTCAACATGTATGACCTAATCTATTAGAAAAACAATATAAGAAAATTTTCGACAAGATAAAATATCGAGAGAAACATTTTTAGTCTAAGAAACCTTCCACCTAAACGAGAGGTCACAGAATACAATCTGTGAGAAAAATCTAGTCGCCGGTCGAAATTAAACGCGAATCGAGTGAAGACCTCCTATTTCTTTTGACTAATTTTTAAATTTAACCTAGCTCATTAGGTAATTGTAGGTGGTAATTTTGTTTTTCTTTTTGAAATTCTCTGCAACATGTGATAGGTACTTTTTCATTTTATGAATAAATTATTATTATTATTATTATTATTATTATTATTATCATCATTATCATCATTATTAAAAGGTAACATGATACCAAAACATGGTAAAAAATATAAAACGTCCGTCACCAAATGATAAACTAACTTGAGTTCTCATGTGACTAAGTTAGTTCTCTTACCTTTTGTCCTGCAAATTTTTTTCCTGCTTTAATTTCTTTTCCCCTAAGGATATATGGTGTCAAACATGAAAAGCCACTCCGAGGGAAGACTGGAAATGAGTTTTGACAGTGAGAACTAATGGAGAGAGATGGGGAGGGACAATTTCCTTTCTGTTTCTCCAGGTTTTATTTTGTTTTCTTCAAGATTTGTTGCAATTTGTTATCTGTAACTATTACGTTTTTCTACTCTCTTCCGTTTTCTTCAATCATGACTTTCAACATGTTTGTTTTATTTTCCTCGTCTGCCAACTTCATATACATTGTGAGTGATATCACTACGAGAGCTGCTTTGTAAGTAAGTTTGGTTACGATCCATTTTATTTGTTCAACAAGTAAAAGTGGTGTCTATGAATCTGTCGTTAAGAATTCTGCGGCTGAAGCCGATCCGACCTCTCTGCACCCAGCAGATTTCCTCAGGTCTCTAGGAAAGGTTGCAAACCTTTCGTCATACCTTAATTTCTTCTCCCCTTCTAGAGCTTAGTTACCTCGCTTTCTAACTCTTGTCTTGTAACTAGAAACGAGCATCTACTGACGCTAGATTGGTATTTTATAATTTACCCATAGCGTTTTGCATTCTCTCTCCTCACCCCTCCGTCGCC